CAGAATCAGTTTGTCCACAGAGCTGAGGAACAACTGCAAAGTTGGGCTCGCAAGTCTCTGAATCCTGACGTCCTGTTTGCTTCGACTGTCGCCATGGACCTCCCAGCTCGGTGTTTCCTGGCAAAGCAGATGGAGCGGCCCACGTTTTCATCCATGCACAGCACGCAGGTAATTTTGGTTCTCTAAAGCAGTCACTACGCAAACAACATGGGTGAAAATACCACAGCGTTTTTTATTTAGTGTTTGCAAATGCTCTAGGTGAAGTCCATCACTGAAAACAATGCTGTGTGAATAATCACACGCTGCGAGTACCGGGTAGTTAAAGGCAACATTTTCATTTTCAAAAGTGACTAAGTGACTTAGGGCTCATTTCCTCTGGACAGTTACAGGAATAGCTAATTAACAGTAATTAACCTCATACACTTGCATCAAAACCTCCTTGAAGACAGCCTTGCTCCAGAATAAAACCTCATTTTCCTGAATTAGCTTAATCCAACTGGGAAGAGCCCATTTTCAGCACAGCTTCAGTCCAGCTGCAACTCCACAGGCTTTCCATGAGGCTCTGACCCTTTCAAAATGAGCTTGCAGCTGCTAGTCCATCTACGTTTCTGAAATTTCTACCCAAGGTAAAGCAATCTGCAAAGAGGGACAGGCTGCAATTACGCACTCCATCATACAAGTGAAAATAAGCTGGTCTGCAAAACTCTGTCTTCAAAGAGTTTTGGAGCCATTAGTTCACTACCTACACCAACTATAAACACGACTCTTACATATGAAGAACTTGAGACAGACAGGTGAAGGGACTTCCCTGAAGTGTTACCAAGAGTTAGTATCTCTACAGAGTGTAAGACTAAGGAGATTTCGCCTTCCAATTATACCTGCATTCAAGCAAGTATAAGTATGTCTGGAGGGCTATGGGGAGCAGCAATTCTCCACCACCACCACCACTTTCTATTACTGTAGTCAAGGCTAGCACATGCTCCATGGTGCAGCGGTGGCTTCACCAGATGGGAAGCCCCCTTCCCCACCTGGTCCCTCCTCCCCACCCCGTAGCTTGGCTCTGTCTGCCCCCCATGCATGCACACGGCCAAATGCTCCAAAGAGGGCTCCAAATAAAGGGTCAGAAAAAGAACGTGATCCTCAGACCGGCAGAAACATTTCAAAATATTTCTAAATGAACACTAAATATTGGAAGAAAGAAAATTTCCGAGTAGAAGTAGTAGATAAATATACTGGTTTGGAATGTTTTCTCCACTAGAAAAGCTTCCCTGTGATCTGAAAAAACATTCATTTTTAATTAGAAGATGAAATGTGGTTCCCATGACTGTAAAAATTACAACAAGTTATTGTGCTTATTACAACCCTGTAAAAATTAGCCCAAACCATAAAACTCTTTCTGATTCCATATGTCTCCTTGGATTTACTGCTGATCTCACTAACATCACGTGTGTTTTCTTCAGTTTTTCTTCGCTATCTCCTACCCCTCCACGTTTCCATGAATTTTCCCCATTTTCTTACACCAAAGAGGATCTAAGTGCCTTTGACTAGAGGCTTTCCTACAGCACAACTCAGACAGTATCAGCTCCTGATTAGGCAGTCTGTACTAGCTCAGTCAGAATGAAAACCTCGCGATGGATTTTATTTGCCCTGAGAGGGGCCCCCCTGGCTTGCAAGCTCAAGATTAAAAACCCTGGGTTTCTCAGTCCAATTGGTTTAGTCAGCATTCAGCCCTCATTTTTTGCCTGAAGGAGAAAAGGGGGGGAGAAAAGGAATTGAAGACAATGCTAATGAAAAAATCTGAGCTATTTTAATCCAATGCAAATTCTCTGAGCTGTAATGAAACTGTATTGTTCCACTATGTTGCTGTTGGTTGCTAGTTAACGTGCACTGCCGGTATGTTGCTGTACAGATCTTTTGGGGTTCATGGGAAAGCAAGCTCAGAAAAAGCCGTGATATAAACTCTGATTTGCATAGTAGCAGACAGCAGCTCGGCACCGATTTACCTTTGATCTAACAGTGTCGAGAAGTTTTACAGCATTTCAGTTTGGAGGTGAAGGGAAGTTATCGGGGAAGAAGAGACTTTCCTTGCTAGCACTGAGTGCTACGTGCCCCAGCGCACTGAACCCTGTGATTAAGCTCCTGCAGTTTGCCCTCCCTCGGTGTCAGAAAGCAGCAGGCATCCTCTGGTATAAACAGTCTGAGGGCTGAGACCGGTCTGAACAGAGCAGAGGTGGCGGAGGGGACGTCACTGGGCAGCCAGATTGTAGCCACACGCAAGCTGACTGCAGAAGGGGAGCTGCACATCCTCCTCAGAAAAAGCCTGCGGTGATGGAGCTGCTACCTTGCAGAAGACCCCACCAGCAAAACTGCGGCTCGGCAGCGTTTCAGTGCGGTCCCCGGCAGGGCCGAGGCAGCATCCTCACTCCACCTCAAAGGGCTGACTTTCAGCACGGGATCAGCAGCCTCGTGTGGGGCAGGGCCTGCCGCGGCGTTGTGCTTTACCTCTCCCCACACCAGTTCTGATGAACTTGGTTGAAAGCCTCTTTCAAAAGCAGATACACACGTGCCACACCCAGGCACAGCTGCTAACATTAGGCAAGAGACCAGCAGACATTTAAATATAGAACAGCTAGGCTTGGTGAGAGGGAAGAGCTCCGCTGGTGCGCCTCGACTTCCTTGATCAGCAAGCTCTTCGCTGGATATTGCACAGAATGAAACAGCACAGGCAATCCTTCCGTTTGGAAGAACAAACATTCCAATAAACCAAAGTATGGTATGCTAGTCCTCTGTTGGGGTGTTTTAATTTTGCAGGGGAAATATAAAAAAACCTTTCACAGCCCAAGATTTTCCAAACCCACCCGAGATCTCTGGTGAGTCAAAGTTTAAACGCCCAGTTTGCCACATCGACGTTACGGTCTCTCCAGGAGAGCTGAACACTGACTCCCTCAAGACCAGACCCTGTTACACACGCCAAGATGGGCACACACCGGTGATAGGCAGAAGCTACAGTGGATAACTTCTTAATAAAACTAATCCAACATCATTTAAGCCCTGGCTTTCCGGAAGATAAGCTCCGGAAAGAATACAAGTCTTTTTGTGCCTGAAAGAATTACCCTCACTCTCTCTTCCACTCAGGGGAAAGCCTTGGACTACTAGATAAGAAATAAAGGGCCTTCCCTTTGCCCAGGCAGCGCAACTGCCTCGTAATCTGCATTACTTGCCGTAGCTTTAGGTAGCTGTTAGCGCAGGCATGGGATGCCCACTTGACTTGCCACCGCAGGTAGCACCAGCTTTGCCAGCGCTCCCAAGGCGTTTCAGAGGCACGTGCCACCAAACGGCAGGGACGGCCCGGTGATCCCTGCACAGGGAAAAGGCAACCCGTGGCAGGAAAGCACAGTTAGGCCTGGGTTCATGCAAAGCAGCGACAGGATGACTTGCTGACACCTATCCCAGGAGCAGGCAATGGGACGGTTGTCTAATTTAGATGAAACACGCAGAAGTCTAGCTCACTGATAGGCAACCACTTCTGGCCAGAGCTATACCTGTCCTGTCCGAATTAAAAATAAACTCTTGCTCCGGCTCACTTAGGAAAACCCTCTGGTTTGAATATCCCCGAAGCCTGGAGCTCTCCCCCTCCCAGCAAGCCTGGTGCCTGACCTGCTCTCCATTCACAATCCGCCTCCACGGTTCCCTCCCCGCAAGCAAGACCTGGAAACGCTAATCCCTGCCAACAAACGCCGGCGGCACACCATCACGAAAAGGCTTTGGGGACCGTATTCTGTCACCTTGGTTCACACCAAGGAGTATCTTACTCCCTGCTCCTTCCCATGGGGCTACTGGCCAAGTGAAACCCCAACTGGCAGGAGCCAAGGTGGCCCAATCTAGCCTTTAATTACCACCACTATCCAGACCTCGGGGGCGACTCCAGGTCACAGAAATAGCATAGTATTTGAGCAGAAACTTGGTCTCTTCTGTGACCAGTACAGTTTCAGTGCTTGGTGTGCTGCTGGCCTTAAACAACTAATTCATAATGCAGGCATGAAACCACAAATCAAGCGGTGAGAGGGACAGAAGATGTGATATTTTATAATTTTTTTTTTTCTCAGAACTCAAATACCTTTGACAAACGTGTCTATGCTTCACTGGTATTTTTCTTCCTACAGCTGTACCGCCATACAATTATAAAACATTACAAATGATGCTTTCCAAGCTGTGACCCAGGAGATGACATTTTGTTTTCAAAAAGGACGTAATATAATTCCTAATGACTTAGAGACTTAGACTCATCTTTAAGGTGTCACCAAAACGGTCATTAAGATGCTTTCTGAGTATCTGTGCTCAGTGACACATTCTCAACAGAATGTTTGCATGGGATTTTTTTGGTCAAAGAGTAATAAAATTCAGATGTATAAACACAAGAGAGAAAATAATCAGGGCTTATTTTCCTTCTCCAAAGTGAGTGTGCTTGCGTGCGCACATACACACACACACACAGATATTTGTATTAACGTGAGTAAATTGAGTAGACTTTGTCATATTTGTATCAACAACCAGCAATATATACAGTTATGCAGATAAAAAGAATGTATTTTAATAGTCATGTATATGTAAATTTTTTTAACTAAAATAAACCAAATCAACCTCGAGTGAGAGTATCTAGATAGGCACAAAGACATAGCTGTAGCTGGACCCTTTGAAATAAGTCCTTGCCCGTCACAAGGAAGAGTGGGCTGAGCCATCTGCAGGAAAGGCTTTTTGCTATCAGCCTTCAGAGAAAGGTTAACAGCAATGGGAAAAAAAGCCGCTCCCGTCTTTTACTTGAACGTGAATTCTGGTACGTGTAGCGCACCAACGCAGAAGCCCGACGTACTGTAATCTTGCCGAGCTGGGAGCAAGGCAGCCCTTCCTGCAAGCCGACGGAGCGGCTACCCAGACGTTAATCACGGCCGCGGGAGCGCGGAGAGGCTGCAGGGGAGTCGGCACATCGTGCGAGACCTTACCTGTTCCAGGTAGCGTTGGAGCAGGCCCGTCGCTGCTGGGTCCCCCGCTCATCCAAGGCTGCCTGCTCTCTCTTGCCCAGATCACTGAGGCTGGGCGAACTCATGAACTTCAACCTGCGAAGAGTCCTCATGGTCAAATGTGTGTTTGCGCGTGGCAGCTACAGATACACCATCCTGTTTACACACACACACACGCAGCTGGAGCAGCAGCAGCGGCAGCAGCAGCAGCAGCAATGCGAGCAGTTCCCTCCGTTTGCTGTTCAAAAAAGAAACTTAAAAAAAAAAGAAGAGAGAACCAGTCTCTACGGAGCACACCTCTGCCAGCAAGAAAACAAACCTTTAATCAGATCAACTCTGACGTCATCAACTGTGGTTAATAATTTCTCCAGTCCTTTCAAAAAATAAAAGTCGAACTTCTGGCTGCCGCTGCAGCACTTTGAAGGGGCCCCTTGCAACTGCAGCTGCCCCGAGTGCGAGGGCTTCCCCTCCCCCTGTCCCCGGGCACCGCCACCCAGGAATCTCGCTCAGCGCCGAGGCGGCGTGCTCCACCTGTCGTGGGAACTGCTCGGCTCCTCCAGTGGCTTGGGGGGGTCTGCTAGCATTTCTCAACCTCTCCCTCCCTCTCTCTCTGTACTCATAAATGGAAATGAAACTGGAGGGCAACGGACAGAGAAAAAAAAAAAACAACAAAACCCAAGCAACCAATACTGACGCACTGAGACTTTATTGGAAAGTTTCATAACTGCCTGTGCCCTGCCACGTTACGACACTGCACACACGCGCTCTCGCTCCCTCGCTCATACATATACATACGCACGCTCCCGCACTCCCTCTCTCCCGCACGCGCACAGCACAGCCTCACGGCTCACCTGGGAGGCTGCTTCGGCTCAAAGTGTCACAGAAGCCACAAGACGGCAAGTGTTCGCAAGCAACACAAGCGCAGAATGAAAAGTGCTCGTTTGGGTTTCAGCATTTTGAGGAATTTTTGATGGTGCATAGCATAGAAAAGCCAGACGCTTTGCCTTTCTCTGCCTTTTTTTTTTTTCTTAAATCAAGATAACAGCTACACAACTAGGGGCATACTTAGTTTCTACAAAAGCCCCAGGTGTCTTATCTTCAAAGGAAAAATCTTCTTTCTCTCTCTGACGGCAGCACTGGAGCTGAAGGATATGCTGCTACAAGACTCCAGCCTGTGCTCAGCTCACTGTCACTCACTCGCGGTTCTGTTTTAAATTCAGGAGTCCCTGGCTCATCTGCTGGGAAGTAATGTAACAAAACAGCGATTAGCTTTCTCAGAAAAGAAACTGTTTGCAATTGTTTGCAAAAAAAGCCAGAGCGTAAAAACTGTTCTTCTGTTGCTACGGCACTGGTCTGCAGTCTGGTAAAAGCCACAAGGGCTCCTTGCAGAGTAACCTTCCACTCGCTGCACTACAGATGAACTTATCCTTTCATTTTTTCCCCACTTTCTACTTAGTCTTTTGACCTGTGATAACCCGTTGTCTAGATTTGGGCTATAATTGGATTTGTTTGTGTCCAAATGATATGGCAAAGCTTACATTACAGGAGGACTGAATTTCTCACAGTGAGATCTGCCCTACGTGCATCATTTACTGACCTATTTTAGTAAAAACCGATTCCTCTCACTACTCGCCCAAACTCAGCTAAGCTTATTGCATATAAATATTTGCTTCCAAAATCTGTATTTGGTATTACCTTCATAGGAAGCAGTTGCAGAACTACCTAGGAAAATAAATCCATTTTTACCTTGTGCTACTTTTAGCAGCAGTAGTTTTATCCAGCTGCTTGGATTAGTGTTATATTGATTGTCCTTCCCACACCAAAACCCTCAAGTATACAAATGAGCATCACAGTAGATGGCATATAACATTTCACTTCGGAAGGGACCTGTAGCACCACATCTAACCCACGTACAAAGACATCGCTATCCCTGGTCTCTTCCAGATGTTTAAATCCTTCAAACAAACGAACAACAATCCACTATGTACACAGCAGCAAAAGGAAAACAAACACAACAATATATGGCTGTATTCTAAGGAATGAGACGGCTTCCACAGCGTACAAATCAGTGACCAAAAATAGATGCAGCAGAACACTGCTTTGTTCAAATCGGACGACGGGCGCTCCGCTTCTGGGGATAAGACAGCCCGGGAGAGCAGGGGAGCACAACTCAGTCTAAGCTTCTGCTGAGGGCTCAGATAAATGTGCATCTAGCCTGTTAAGTGAAACAACTAGTTAGATAAACCTGTGGCAATATAATTCTATCTAATTTCATTTTCCACCTAGCTCAGTTGCTTTTCTGCTTCTTACTTGCTGTGAATTTGATAGGCCTAGCAAAATGTTATTATACTGGATTAAACCCTTGGAATTTTTAACTCTTTGATCCCTCAGCAGCACCAGAGACTTTATAAACTGTACCCTTATGATGCCAGTATGTCAGCAGCTACAGAATAATGTTTCATCTGCTTTTCTTCCTAAAATCCTCAACTTGCTAATTGACTGAACCCAAGGAGCTGCTGTGTCAACCTTGGATACGCCAGACAACACTGCAAAAAGCAGTACTTTGCTTCCTCATAAAATGCTGAATCCCAAGAGAAGAAAAAAAAAGGACCTCTCCATCTGCATGTTGAAATATTGCACCTACAGAAGTCAGACTATTTTTATGCCACCCCATCAATCTCAGTAACCAGGACTAGATTCAGAGTCGACGCATGCACAAAACACATGGGAGAGGCAGCATTCCAGTTTCCTGAAAAATTTCGGATTGAGGTACCAGAAGACAGGCTTTCTCTACACTTCCTCCTCCTTCCTATGATTCCACCTGACCAAATGCTGATTTATGATAAAATAAATCATTTTCAGCAAGGGTTATCTCCACCAATAATTACAGAGTCATACTTCACATATACACTGTGCTGTGTGTCCACGGACATCCTTGACTTCACAGCATTCATTAATTCAGCCCTGAGCAGCTCTTGGGTATGAAGGTAAAAGACACGATCTGCACTTCAGCGTTAAGAGTGAAGGAGAGAAAGGTGACTTGACTTGCCCAGGCCACCCCGTGAGCAGGTGGCAGAGATGTCAAGAGATCCCAGGACCTCCACCTCCCGTTCCAGCACGCTACTGAGGGGATGCAGCAGGGACTGGGTAGCCGGGGACTCCCTGGACCGGGGCAGCTGGAGGGCGATGCAGAAGACCGAGCCCCTCGCCAGGGTTTGCGGTGCGGCTGTTCCTCTGTAGTCACTTGTGAAGAGAGTTGTCGCAATACAGCACTGCTTCAAGATCGAGAGGCTAAGCGGCAGAGATTGCTCGCTATTGGTCATAGAGAGGGATAAGAGCACTGACCGGACTAATTGGGAGGGAGGGGAGGACGGGGGATTGGTGGGGGCACTCCCATAGGCTCAATAACGAGCTTCTTAAATAGAACAACTGCACTCAGCACATTTACAGAGCTGAGACTGTAAAGTACTGTTAGGTTAATTCATTTAATCCCAGCATGCTGTACACGATGCTAATACCACTATTTCACTCACAAGAAACCTGCAGCTCAAAGGTTAAGTGATTTAATCAAAGCCACACAACCACCTCAGTGTGGAAGGTACATCCAGCCCTAGCTCCTGCTCCCTCCCTTCCCCTCCAACATCTCTCCTCATAAAACCAGGCCTGTCTCTACTAGAAACCGTTCTTTCATCTGTGGGGCCCACATCCTGCGGGTGACTGCACGGCAAGTCCCGGAGCCGCCACAGTGCCGGAGACGTAGGGGAATTCTGCTCACCTGGACTTGCTTGCTGTCTTGAGGCCTAAAACAACGTACAGGTACATGAATATAGGCTGACAGCCCAAGAGGTTTTATGCTGTTATTACATGACAACGTTAGCATGCGGATCCAGGACCTTGTACCAAACACGGCTTTTAAAATAATCACCAAGGATAACTCTGTAGTTACCTACTGGTATGCCTGTAACGCCTGTAACATTCTCGCTGGGAGCTGTGGTTTAGAGATCGCATTGCTGCCCCTAGAAAATGTTTAAAAAAATCCAGACAGACCTCCCCAAGCATACACTTGGTTTCAAAAGAATGAGATTTGCTTAAAAGTAAAAGAAAAAAATTCCTACATTTTATTTGCGTAATGCTATGTTAATTTTTACAGTACAATCGTATTGTCTTCTTACGAGTTTCTTTTTGACCATGATGAGAGGGGAAAGGAAAGAAAAAGTAACGTTGATGAACGGGAACATTAAGAAATTCACAATATATGAAATTCATAATAAAGCTGCCAATGCTGTGACTGCTACGGGTCAATGTGCCTTCGGCTACACCATTCTGCTACTGCAATGACAGGTTAACACTGCAGTGATATTGGTGCCAGTGGGAGGATATAATCAGCAAGAGAATTTGCTATCTCAGCATTATTCACCAGAGCTTTGCTATGTAAAAATAACTCAATAAATATAAATTTTACTTGGGGGGGGGGGGGGGGGAAGCCCACTACTTCACTTTATCTCCCCTCCTCTTTTGGAGAGGAGAGCAGAAATCCCTATGGAAATGCTGTATGGTGTATGCTCTGCAAGCTTAGAACAAAGAGGTAAAGTGTATCTATGGCAGAAAAGAGTTAAAAACCTCCCTAGACAAATGCACCTAAGTTTTTCATAAACCACACCACAAAACTTAGGGCATGCCTCAACACATGCCAAAGCTCAGGAATTAGTCTTCTGAAAAACCATACTTCTTAAAGGCACAGCACGTCCTGCTGCACCAGCAGAGGAGGGGCAAAGCAGGAGGCAAGAAGGAGATGTGAGTATCAGGAAAAAAATAAAAGGAGCAGAGGGGGAAATGAAGTTGCTAACCTTATGACTCATCAATTCCTTTGCTGCAATATCCACATAAAGCTCCTTTATCATCAGAAAACAAAGAATAAAGAGAATAAAGAAAGTATGAAACCAAACAGGCACTATTTGCACCCTTCCCCCTCCATCCCACTGACTCTCTGCAGCCTCTGAAGATAAAGGCACTCTCAAGGACAGCTTCTGCCTGTCGTTTACTGAGGCTGGTCACACAACAGCCTTAGTTTTGTTAGTCCTTTGCTTCATCTCTGGCCTCACCACGGCCAAGCTCTGATTTATAGGAGGGGACCTGGGCTTACTGGACCATCTCCCTAACCTCTGAAACACCCCCTGTGTACTCCCGAACTTCTGCATCCTGTGACCAATAGCGCCCACATGACCACAGTTGCCCCCTTTAGACAGAGCTGGGGTT